TGATATAACTGGTTATGTTCGATTTGATTTGTTTATCTATCTATATATATGAAATTTATAATCTTTATATATATTTCTATAAAAATAAGTTACTTATACATGACAGTCCTACGAACACGCCAATACCCATGCCTTACGAGAGATGGTGGTGTTATATTGATGACTCTTGGAAAGAAACGGAGTTAGTGGCAGGATTAGGATGATATTATTTTAAAGATGGTGCAAGGGACAACTTCATGGGTACAAAAAAATGTACGGCAAAGCTTAACGCATCTACATGCGGAGATGGAAGCCCTTATCTGGGCTATGAACTGCATGTTAGAGAATCAGAAGACGACAGTAACCTTTGCAACAGACTACTCGGAGTTGGTGAAGATGGTGTCTACACCTGAAGAATGGCCAGCATTTGCTCTACACTTGGAGGAGATTGTGAAGATAAAGGAGGGATTCAGCTTTTTCATGTTATCACATATCCCACGCACGAAAAATTCGAAGGCAGATAACCTAGCAAGAAGTGCTCGTGTCTACCCTCAAGAAGTTATTTATGTAAACTCGGTGCCACCAGTTTGGTTAACCGAACCATTCTAGGTACTTAGGCTGATGACAAAAAAAAAATTAATTATACATTTCAAACTCATGTGTATAAAAGAAATTTTATAACATAAAAATTAAGATTTAAATAGAATTATTTTTAGCTAACAAAGATTGATCAAACATTAAATATTTAGACATAAAAATATATAAACAATTAAAAATAATGATAACTGACGTGGCAGCTTACTTAACATTTTTAGACGTTTTGACTGATGTGACAGCTGATTAAGACTGCTGAATCAATATAGTTAACGGTTTGACTAACGGATTTACAGTTAATGTTGAATTTGGCATAAATTCAATAGTTTGAATAAAAAATTTATATTTTAATCATTCGAATAGGAAATAACACCAAATTTTAATTCAAATTTTTTCGGTACATTAAATTTAATTCAAATTGATTTTGGTCCTTTTCTCGTGTTTCTAACTATGCTTTTCTAACAGATTTCAACTTATTTCGTTTGGTAGGATTTGAAGAATCTTACCAAATATTGTTATAAGATTATTGTTTCTCTACGAAGATCATTACATAAAAAGTGATATATTTTATTTAATTTTTATATTACACGACTATATATAGAGAGCCACATCTACAAATAATACGTAAACTAATAACACTCTATTATCATAGCACTCCTCTTATAATAATTTTAATATTATTTTATAACCCATGTGATACTGTATGAAAATCAACACTAACATGATATGCGGTCATCTACTTAACCAGAGCCCATGAAGCAAATGTGACTCGTTGATTATTTTCTTTTAATTGAGAGAATCTCTATTTTGACCCCAAAAATAAATATATTAAACAGGTATTGTTATTTAACAACCATTGGTCAAGTTTCTAATTATTTTCATATTTTTGATACGGAATGTGTGTATAACACAACTGATAGAGATACGTATTGAATGAATTATTGGGAAAAATGCTAAAGAATTCGTTCTTCACCAATCCAAGAAGTTAGTTTCAAAATGTTTGGTCTTTGATCTTCCAGCTTTAAAAATAATATAAATAAAAATAATAATTTCTAATTTTTTTGGGCTTGCTGACATCGCATTCTTTCAATCAAGTTTTATTGTTTTTTTAATGGTTCAGATTTTAATAGATCCGCGGATAAGCAATTCACAAAGAAGAAAAGACTAATTTTCTAAATCTAGTTCAATATGCTATTTGTTTTGTTGTAGGCTCTTGTGGCAATATAAAACCTCCTTGACTGTTTTTGTATAGAAACGAAATTCTTTGTGGCTGTTTGTTCCAATGATATTTTTGGGTTTCTTACTCTAAATTTTTGAATTTCTACTGACTGAAATTTGGTTATGGATTGCAGAAAATACATGGACTTTGGAAAAATAAAACTAATAGTTTGTGATGCATGGTGAAGAGCACTAATACTTTGGCTATCAATCAGAGTTGAGCAATGCTGATGATGATATGAAAATATATCAGTGCAAAACAATTTCAGTAAACAAGTAATAATTATAATGTTTTCTTGATGACGTTATCGTTTTTTACAGGAAAAAAAAATTAATGGTTTAACAAAATTTTCACTTACGTTTTATTATTCTTTTTAACAGTCAAGATTTTTCTGGAATCCGTTGATATCAGCATTTTTAACTAAAGGTTGTGTTTCTTCTTATTAATCTCACTGAATCAAACATTGCTTCCAGTTCCAATTTTTGCAGACTCTTGCCTTAGTTGCCTATCTTCTTCCAAACTCTACATTTTGGTACACTTTTTAGTAACCTGTTATTTATCCTTTAGTTTTCTTTTTGAAGAAATCAGTGTTTCTCTTTTGATATCTATTTTCACAGACTTTGCTGCTGCTTGTTTCCTTTTCTTCGAGCATACACCATTGCTGATGTACAGGTGAACTCACCTTTTTTGTTTTGTTATACATCTATCACAGGATGTGTTTGTAATTGTGCATTATTTTTCTTAAAATTATGCTTCAATATAAGTTTTTATGTGTCTTATTCTTATTAATGGGTCTACCGATTGCTTTTATAATTTTATTTATCCACATACATCTAGCCTCACTCTTTTAACCTTGATTTTCTTTTAATAGTTTCATATGCATTGTATCATCTTCTTTTTCATTAGCGTGGTAGTCCGAATTTTGTCATATTTTCTGTTATCTTATTTTATTAGTTTTCGTTTCTCCCCAGTTATTTTTTTGTGAACAATGTAAGGTACACTATAAAAAATGTTGCATTAAAGTAATTGTGATATAATTAGAAAGGACATATCTCTATAGTAGATATTTTTTAAAATACTTAAATGTGTAAATTATTACATGAAATGCCATTACAAATAACAAATATAATTAATTGTCTTTGATTATGTAAGAAAATTTAAAAAGTATATATTTTCCATTAAAGAGGTTATTTATTATTTAGTTCTTAATTGTTATTTATATTTGAAAATAATTGCAAAAAGTACAGCATATCTATTCAAAATTTTATAATACTTTTTCTTATAATTTATTAGATTTTATTTGAATATATATAAAAACAAAATTTAAAAAGTACAGTATATTTCTAATTTATAAGTAGTAAGACATGAGAAAAATAAGTTTTGTAAGAGTTCATTGACTGACCACAAAAACTAGAATCATTAAATGGTGCATATTAAAATTTTGTATTCAGGATTATATATTTTTCCGTGTTAGTTAGAATAAATATTTAAAAAAAAAATCAAAACAGATTAAATAAATAGATTAGTTTGATTCGACATCTCTATCTATAATCAATAGTTAAACATATTATTAAATCAAAGTAAAAGAGTTTCTTAATTTTCAAAATATTTTTTACTTAAAAAATTATTTCGCGCTAACTATATAGCTGGTTAAATCTTAGTATAGTTAAAATAAACTGACATGTTTTTAATATTCAGAATCTGTTGTTTATGTAATTTTTCCTTTAGTTTAGATAACTTGTCCTCATTGTTATATCTTCATTGTCCATGATCAAGGTAAATTCTATTGACCAACCGGAAACAAGGTTAGCCAGCGAAAATAAACTCTTGGGCATCTTCCAAAATCATATTTTTGTATTTTTCTAACTGCAAATAAATTTTTAAGGATAGAATCAATCAACATATGTTTTCTTAATTTATAAGATTTTGAGAGATGTAAATCAGTACAAACATTTTTGTTTTACCGTTGCAGTCAATCTTTTGCTTTTCGATAGGTAACGAGTGTGAATAAGTCCCACTTTGCATCATTGAAGGATAAATGGAAAACTTTTCATGATTGAATTATTGAATTCAATGCAATTGTTTGCTATTCATATTGTGTCATTAGTTAGTTTGCTCTTTACTAAACCATTGCAGCTTTATTGCAGCTTTTGAGGTACTCTGGTTATTTAAACTAAACGGTTGCAATTTTTGGAATGATGCTTATTTTATTAAACTACTGCAATTTTTGGGATTGTGATTATTACTAAACCATTGCAATCTTTAGATTTATGGTTATTTTATTAAATCATCGCAATTATTTATATATAGCTCTCAAGGCTCTGTAAGAGATTGAGAAAAAAAATTAAAGAGAAAATTAAAACAAAATGCAAAAAAATTATTTATATGTCTTGTATCTTAGCCTAGAACAACAGAGAACTCTAATTGTCTTATCCTCCAAAAGATTTTATTTAACTCAAAGCTTTATTAAAAGTCACATCTTAATAAACTGTAAATTTGAATAATGATTGAATCCTGTACATAAGGATCATTTTACATACAATAATGTGGAATAAAATATATGTAAGAAAAATTATGTAAATAAATCAAGGTTTTTCTGGTTAAGGTTTTTTAAGATAGAATGCATTGGTATTGACATCTGACGTACTCATAGACTGCGAAATCAAGCTGAAACATTAGTAAAAAAGCAGGTGATAAATCTAATAATAAGTTATAATTTCAAAAGGGGAAAATCCAAAAGATTTCGTAGTATATAGATTATAAACACATTGTAATGGAGTTTTCTATACAGAATTTTAAAAATAAAATTGATTAAAAATGGTGAAATAATGGAATGAAAGTATGTGGGATATTGAAACTTATTGCTCTATTAAATCTATTGAAACAGTTTATTACGTATAAATTTGTTTCAATAATTGTTCTATTTCAAATTTATAAAGTATATATTTAATTTTCAAGGCATTTTATTTACAAAATATGTGTTATAAAGTATTTATTTGCCCTCGTTGAGGCATGGTTTTTTTTTTTTTTTTAAACTCACTTTTATTATTCATTAAAAATAAATTATTACAAGCCATGATTCTAATTGAATCATACAGTTTTAAAAAGAAGTTACAAGTAGAGAAAAAGCTTAGAGTACAACCGGTGCACCATATACAATTGAATCTTCCGCTTCGACTGACTGAAATGAACAAAACGATGTAACTAACTAGCCACGACCACCTCGTTTTCCACGTCCACGATTACCTCTTCCACCACCACCAATGGTTTGCCAACCCATTTCTTTAGCTTTGGTTGACGGTTTAACCGGTCTTTCTCGAAGAATTCTTTTACCTGAAGGAGTCTTGTCATCATCAATCAAATCTTCTCCTCCATCCGTAGAAACCAAGGAGGCAAACTGGTTGGAACCAAGACATGGCTCAGCTTGAGTTGCACTCTCCCTTTGGACAGTGATAGAAGCACGAGCAGAAGCAGGGAAAGATAAAATTTGAGCAATCTCTAGAAGAGGAGATTCAATAGTTTCTAAAATGGACTTACTTGTCTGAACCGATAGACAAGCCTCTTCGGTGATAGTAGTCGAAGTTGGATCAATGGAAACTGATTCACTAGATGGCAAAACAATGGGTTCTGAAAGAAATACCTCAGGGCTTGTAACAGTGGCTGAGATGGAGGATTGAAAAGCATTTATTGGGACAGAGGTAGAATCGGATCCCATCACAGTGCCAACCTCCGAGACATTCTCTGTGACAACCTCCTTGGTAGTGGCTACAACTTGTGAACCAGTTCCGGTTTGTAGACAACGTTTTATTTTGTGACCAAGCTGACCACACTTACTACACTTACTAGGCAACCAAGCGTATTCCACATCTACCATAGAAATAAAACCGCTTTCATCCCCAGCAGCAATCTTTGTTGGAAAAGCTTTACTCAATTCAACCTCAACCAGAATCTTTGCCTCACCCATGAGAATAGGATCTAAGTGAGGCTTGTGAGTTGCCATAGGAGCTCCTAGACCTGAAGCTATGTGGCTTATTCCGGGAATTGAATACAAAATATTGGGTATTTTTTTTAAAGTAACCTATACTGGAACAGTTTTGATTTCCGGGATTGCTAATGTTGCTTCCGGAGTCCACGCAGCAACAAACATCAAGCAATCATCAACATGCCATAATCCTCTTTGAAGAACCCACATCCTAGTTGATTTGTCTGGTATATGGAAGAGATAGTTCGATTCACCAAGTTTCCTTATGGTGATTCTGCATTTCCTTCCCCATAACTTATTGAAAACTGCATAAATTAGTCCACCTGGAGGAGGTGAACATCTATAGAACTGGCCTAGAATATACTCTTTCTGATTCTCTAGACCTCGTAAGAGAACATGCTGTGGAATTGTTACCTTAGGAGTTCCATCCTCCAAATATTCTGGTTCAGTTGCTCTGTAGAGATTCCTGGAAACTGGGTTCATTTTTGCTGCCCAAGGAAACCGAAGATCATCTTCCATACTGACAATTGGATTTTGCTGAGCACTCGATCCACTAATTCGCTGCTTACGGTTACGTATCGCTTGAGAATCAGAGAGGGAAGGCCAGTAATCAATTTGGACTTCATGCGGAGCAGCCGGAATAGAGACAGAGGCATGGGAGAAGCTCAACTTTTTGGCCCAAGCTCCTTTGAGAGGTGCAATGGGAACCTGAACAGCATGAGATTCTTTTCCTTGACCAGCCAATGCTATCTCCACCGTTTTAGAAGATGGAAAAACCTCTTCTGCAACAGAGACCTCCACTTGTTCTGTGACATCGAGACGTGGTTTTCTGCCGGTTCTGAGTGTGCTGGAGCTTCTACTGATACAGAGACTGATGTATCTGGGTTAGATGATTTTGCTGTAATCGAACCCAGTGGGAGAGAAGGATCGACTGCTACATTCACGTCAAGAGGAAGAGACGAGCTTGTTTTGGTTTCCAACGAAGCTCTAGGGGTACTTTGCGAAGAACGAACCATTGATTCTACCGGGTGTGCATCCTCCGACGCCGTTTGCAGACTTGCACCTGGACTCATTGCCGGTGGGGAAGAGGTCTTCTCCGTCCAGCGACTAAGATAAGGTCAGCGAGGATCTGGGATGTCGGAAGAGGACTTACCGGTGGTTTTGACGATGGAGACAACACCATCAGATTTATCGGGATTTTTTCTTCGAAATGGGGTTTCGAATTCGGACAGATCCATGGGAGAGGGAGATCGCTCAGTTAATCTCGCCGTTAAAGAAGACAGGTGAGCAGTGGTCGACGATGTCGGACGGTTGGATCGTCGAGAGAATTCGGTGGCTAGGTTTTTTCTGTCGCCGCTGAGAGAGAGAAATTAGGGGCGCGTATAGTCACACGCTTTTCTTTCGCTTTCTCTCTTCTGTTCTGTTGAGGCATGGGTTTGTTTCCTAGTAATAGTAATAGCAAAATAAAAAGAAGTTCAACAGAATTAGCCATCTCTATACTTCATGATTACATTTATTTGACCTTTATTATTTAATTATATATTTTTCTACATTAAAACAATAATAAAACCATAATTTGTCTTAGCTCTCCTTTAATCTCACAAATTTATAGTGTAACTTTGGTCTCTTCGAGTTTGATCTTATAATTACTACTGCATATTGTTCTGCACTTATTATATTGGTTTCGGATTAAAACTCGCATTTTCTAAATCACCATATGGATAAAGATCATTAGGAAAAAACCTACATTAAAAAAAAAACCTATCCTCTAGAGTAGTTTTGGATCTATTCTATGCAACTGGATTTCACTGGCGCAAACGTTTTTACAATTAGATTGACTTGATCCACGTGCATGTTACCAGATAGTCTGTGAACTAGATAAGGTAAGACTACAATAATTAGTGACAGGGTCAGAACTGTTTTTACCGGAGGCAAAAAAAATATTCTAAAACACATCATCTACAAATTACTCAAAAAAACTACAAATGAATCTACATTCATTCATACCTTGATCATTAATGCGATTTCGTAATACTGTTTTGACAAACATCATTCCTAAAATGTACTTCTTGACGGTTGCCATAACAACAAAGCTAACTTCACAAACTATTAATCAAAATATTAGCACAGCGCTAGAATCTACCCAGAAGACATAATTTATGTAACTCCTCTTCACCGGTTTGACTTACCAAACCGTTCTAAAAATTGAGGCTGTTAACAAAAAGAAAAATTCTATTAATCAAAAAGATGATATATATATATATATATATATATATATATATATATATATATATTGGTTTCTATCATTACGTGTACTTAAGTCTCCAAGATTTCTCAAATCAAAAACATTTCATATTCTGGTACATTATCAATATAAATGTTGATGGAATTATTTTTGTAAGAAAACGATTCATTAGTTATCTCATAAATCAATAGAAATTAGTTTTTTTTTTACTTAATTAGTTTATTTTTAATTACAAAACTGAAAATTTTAAAATATTTAATTTAAAAATTATAAATATAACCCCCAATCTTTTCTATGAATTCAAGTCATATCATTTATAAATTAATAAATCTGAGTCTAATTAAAGTAACATATATATAAAAAAAAAAATCTAACCTAATATTGAATTCAAAATTGATGTTTGGCAGGTGGAAAGCAAAAGTTTATGTCATCAATAAAGATGAAGAGAAACAAATGATTCAAGTTTTAATTTTTAGTTCTTATGGTTTCCAAAATAAAATAAAATTACCTATTATTTAATTAAGATCCACAAGGTTATGGATTATTTATTATTTATTATTGTAACTAAATTTGATTTAAAAGTTTGATATGCATCTTATATATAAAAGAAGAGCAACTCTCTCCATATGAGTGCCACATCAGCATTTGAGAATCAATATAGTGATGACATGTGTCATACTCTTTAATTTAAAGTTATAATTATTCTTAAATAAAATTAATTAATAAATTTTAATATTAAGTATTAAATCATTTAAAGAAAATGAAATTTTTTTTAATTAATTGATTCTTAAATAACATCTACGTATATATTAAATAAAAATTTATGTTATAATTAATTAAAAATATTGAAGATTTTTTTGTATGAATTCTTGATTTTTTAATAATATAATATTTTAAATTGATTGATTTATAATATATACTAACATATAAGAAATAATAATTATATTTTTTAAAAGAAAATACAAAAATATACAAATTTGAAATAGATGAAGAAGAAAATCCGCACGTAACGTGCAGGTATTAACCTAGTAAATATAAATAGTAACAGTGGACTCTACAATAATTTATCATATTTTGATGGGCTTCTTTTTAGACTTTATGATTACCCGCACCATGTGCGGAGTAAAGATTAACCACAATTCTTTTATTCGAATATACAAATATAATATATAAATACAACTACAAAAATGTTAGCTAATATTTATAATTACAAACATATATGATGGTTATGCAATTTTAAATAATATTTAAAGTTATATTTATTTTATAATACAATTACATAAATGCTAGATAATTTAATTTTAGTAGTATTTTTTATATGAATAAAATTACACATTTTATACTAAATTAGATTAATATGTTCTATCTAACCGGTCTAACATCAAACTAATATACTTTGTTTTGATATAAAAAATTGTGGATTATAATATGAATGAAAATATTTAGATTTTCCTATTATTAAATAGATAATATGATTATTTTTAAAACAAAATTAAGATTAAAGAAAGATGAGCTAAGAAAATACTGTTTAGTAAAAATAATGTTTAGTAACATAAGTAATATTATGTATTAAATTTTTATAATATGTTGATAAGAAATAGAAAGAGAGAGAATATCTTTTCAAATTAAATGTTTGAGTATTAAATATATATTTGATATAAACTAATCTTTTACCAAATTAATTTTAGTGGCATATTATGTAATTAATCTAGCAAGTTGGAATCTAATTTCAACAAAAATCTTTGAGAAGCTTTCTGATATTGACACATCAGCATGACAAACTTGTTAATAACATATGACATAAATATTCTTTTTTAAGTGTTCTTCTTTCTCAAATAATAATAGAAGATATATATATATATATATATATATATATTGCGGTGGGTTTTCCTAACTAATATGTATATAAGAGCAGGGACGGAGGTAGTACACGTCGAACGGGGTCACGTGTCCCTTACTAATTTTTATTTTTTTTAAATAATTTAGGTATATTTAATTATAATATTTTAAATTTAGTGCTAAAAAGAAAAAGTTGCCCCCAACTAATTTTTTTTGTTTTCTATTTATAAAATTATACCCCCAACTAAATTTGTTTTTAGATCCGCCACTGTATAAGAGTATATGATTGATCAATATCTTTTAAATGATTTAGTAATATAGAGGTTAGTGTACATGATTCCCCACATTTATGGTCTGTTTCTCATCTATAATTCTATATATAGGGGAGAGAGATATAGAGAGTGTTATGTATATGTATATATGTGTATAACGTGGTCTTTCGTTCCGTATAAATTTGGACGATTGATACAAAATGTGGAGACTAAAAATTGGAGCCAAAGCCGGAGATGATACTCACTTGTTCTCCACGAACAACTACGTTGGGAGGCAGATTTGGGAGTTTGATGCCAACGCAGGCTCTCCAGAGGAACTTGCCGAGGTCCAGGAGGCTCGTCGGAATTTCTCAGACAACAGATCACGTTTCAAGACCAGTGCCGATCTAATATGGCGGATGCAGGTGAACATTTCTGATGTGTGATCTATTGCTAAGCATTTTAACCCCCCCCCCCAAAAAAAAACATATTAAAATACAGTTCTGCGGACATAACAGTTTCTACCACTGAAAATAATTCTGTTTTTTTTTTTGTTCTGGTTCTGTGGACATAATAGTTTCTTAGAGAGAAGAAATTTGAGCAGAAGATTCCACGAGTGAAAGTAGAAGATGCAGAGAAAATAACGTATGATGATGCAAAGACGGCATTGAGAAGAGGGTTACTCTATTTCACGGCCTTGCAGGCTGAAGATGGACACTGGCCAGCTGAAAACTCTGGTTCCATTTTCTTCAATGCCCCTTTTGTGAGATACTTATTTACACACAATAAAATATATTTACAGAGTAAATTTCGAAATATTTAATAATATAACGATTTACAAAAAAAAAAAAAAAAAATCATGCTGCGTAGGTTATATGCTTGTACATCACTGGACATCTAGAAAAAATCTTCACTCTCGAGCATCTTACTGAGTTGCTACGTTACATGTACAACCATCAGGTATTGCTATGACATATGATATGCATATATATATATGTACAGAGATATATACTAAGCAAAATTGGTTTGTAGAACGAAGACGGTGGTTGGGGATTACACGTAGAAAGCCACAGTAATATGTTCTGCACAGTCATTAACTACATTTGCTTACGAATTTTGGGAGTAGAAGCCAGTCATGATGATCAAGGAAGTGCTTGTGCAAGGGCTCGTAAGTGGATTCTCGACCATGGTGCCATGGTGGTGCTACCTACACGCCCTTGATCGGAAAAGCTTGGCTTTCGGTATTTGGCTACTTTCCTTCAAATTTTATTTTTTCTTGAAGTGTATGATTTGACTACTTTCCTTTTTAAATATATACAAAATATCATCTCTCTTTTCATATTTTGTCATTTTCAATTTGGAAATTAGGTTCTTGGAGTGTATGATTGGTCTGGCTGCAAACCAATACCCCCTGAGTTCTGGTTACTTCCTTCTTCTTTTCCAATTAATGGAGGTTTGAATTTGGACACCTTATAATGTAGACATGTAGTGGTACAGCTGGTTTATTACTTATATGTTTGTTTCCCTTCTTTTAGTATTTATTTTTAAGTACGTGTGTAAGTGCATGTGCAGGAACGCTCTGGATTTATTTAAGGGATATTTTCATGGGGTTGTCATACTTGTATGGTAAAAAGTTTGTTGCTACCCCAACACAGCTCATTCTCGAGCTCCAAGAAGAGCTTTATCCGGAGCCATACTCCCAAATAGATTGGAGGCAAACACGAACCCGATGTGGAAATGTAAGTTATAAAAAATCACATGTGATATATATGAGAAAACAAAGATGTATTCAGGCTCTCTCTGTTTTTGTTCTATTAATATCAATATATGTATACGTATATATATATATATAATGTTAGTCTATCTTCATAGAAACTACAACCATAACTAAAATATACAGAAATTTAGTTTCTCGATATAGTAATAAAGAAACATACCACTGGTCTGTTTTTAAAAGAGAAACTTATATTGCCTTAATTGTGGTATTACTAATGGCCAAATTCAAACATAAGAATAAATAAATATACGAAACTTTACTTTCCCGATGGTTTGTTTATGTGTTTATCACTCATTTCTGTCACATTTTATAAGAGTAGATGTTTTGTAAATTTCTATGTAAAATGTAAAATTTAAATGCATGTATTATTTTACGAAAATTTATATTATACAGTATCTTTCTAAAAGTTTAAATTCTCTTACATTAATCTTACTTAAATAGTTTTTTATAAAGAAAATAAATTTAATCGCACTTTTAGCCAGTATATCTTACAAAAGGAACAGATGGAATATCAGAATTTTTTTTTTTTTAAATTGATTTTTCGGAGTTTTTATTTGTTTGCAAACTAGCTTTTTCTTTGATTAAATTTGCGTCTGTAGTATTTTTTTTTTTTGTTTAAATTAGGGTGCACTTTTTTACTGTTTTCATATTCGTCCACTAATTCTAAAAACTTAGTCATTTCTAAAAAAGAAAGTGTTAGTTTAAATGTTAATTATCAAATAGTTTACCAAATTAAATATTAAAGCAATGTAATGATGATCATGCAGGAAGATCTCTACTACCCACGCTCATTTTTACAAGATTTGTTTTGGAAAGGTGTTCATATATTCTCAGAGGGTATGCTAAATCGATGGCCTTTCAAAAACCTCAAAAGGGAAAGAGCTCTTCGAACCACTATTGACCTCCTTCACTATCATGATGAAGCCAGCAGATACATTACCGGCGGATCTGTGCCAAAAGTAATTCTATCTTGTTCTTGTTTTTTTCCCTTCAATTTTTCTTTTTCGATCTATGATAGAACAATCTAATTTTTTTCGTTGTTCTCCATCTTCTTCTTTATTAATTTTTTTTTTAAAAAAAATCTTTAATAGGCCTTTCATATGCTTGCATGTTGGGTAGAAGACCCAGAGGGTGATTATTTCAAGAAACATCTTGCTCGAGTCCCCGATTTCATATGGATTGGCGAGGATGGCCTGAAAATTCAGGTTGGATCTTCTTGATTCTGACTCAGATCAAAGCTCCAAGCTCTTGTATAACATTAAATAGATGCACTAACACAAGTATAACTCTTTGCAGTCTTTTGGGAGCCAATTGTGGGATACAGCCTTGTCGCTGCATGTTCTGATAGACGGTGTTGATGATGATGTTGATGATGAGTTTAGATCAACACTCCATAAAGGGTATGATTACTTGAAGAAATCTCAGGTTACAGATAACCCTCCCGGCGATCACATAAAAATGTTTCGTCACATTGCAAAAGGTGGATGGACGTTTTCGGACCAAGATCAAGGATGGTCAGTTTCAGATTGTACTGCTGAGAGTTTAGAGGTAACAGTAATACACCGATTAATATTTCTTAGTCATAAAATCTGGAGTCTAAATAGATGTTTTGATCAAATTCTCCAGTGCTGTCTATTCTTCGAGAGCATGCCGTTCAAGTTTATTGACCAGAAAATGGATGTGGATAAACTCTATGATGCCGTTGATTTGCTTCTCTATAAGCAGGTAAATTAATTATGAAAGAGAAATACCCTAAAATAGCAGAAAATTTAAATTTTGTGCCAAATCTACCACACTAAATTTAAAACTCCGAAAATAGCACAGTTAAATTTTCTGCTCATAAAAACGCATGCATCATTTTTGTTACCAAATAATTTCTTATATATAAACCATGATAGTTCAAGAAATATTCTTAATAAAAATTTGATCATCTTAATAAAACAAAACAACTAAGAAAACATTTTTTAGAAACAGAAAGAGCATTATATTAATATTGAATTTGTTAGTTCTTGGGAATAATGAAATCTATTATAAAAACAAAAAGAAATCTGTTAGTTCTTGGGAATAATGAAATCATGATAAATTCATGGTCTTCAGTGTCTACTTACCTAATGCATATTCTTATTAAACTATAGTTAAATTATTTTGACGGTTTTAGGTTAACATATCATTTGTTTCTAGTAACAAAATAATTTTTTTTTTTTTGGGTCAAAGGTCAACCAATAAAACGGTTATGATTAGTAATTTACAAATACTGTACTTTTATATGTAAAATTTTGAAAGAATAAAAGGAGCTATGCAAATCACTCCGGCGACCATACACGATACAACAGAGTGATACATTTCTATTCATTAAATTGATTTAGATTTTCATTTATTAAATTGATTGGAGCTTGATAGAAAAAATAATGTTTCTTTTTTGCTAACATATAAAAGACTTTTGTACAAAATTATTAATTACAGAGCGATAATGGAGGTGAAACAGCATGGCAACCAGCGGATGGGAAAACCTGGTTAGAGGTAAAGATTTTAAAATATTTCTTATACGATGTAAAAATTAAAATGACCTCAACTATATGCAGTGGCTTAGTCCAGTCGAGTTTGTTGAAGACGCGGTCGTCGAGCATGAGTACGATATATATATATAGATTCATCACATTCTCTTCATCGATTTAATAAAAACAAAAGTAAACTGGTTTACACTGTTGGATATCATTTCTGTCTTTAGGTATGTAGAATGTACCGGATCCGCGATTGTAGCGTTGGCTCAGTTCGTGAAACAGCATCCAGAATACAGAAAGGAGGAGGTTGAAAGGTTTATAACAAAAGGCGTGAAATACATTGAGGACTTGCAAATGGTGGATGGTTCATGGTATGGAAACTGGGGGGTGTGCTTCATCTATGGGACATTCTTTGCGATAAGAGGTCTTGTGGCTGCAGGCAAGACGTACAATAACTGTGAGGCAATTCGTAGAGCGGTTTGTTTCCTTTTGGACAAGCAGAACTCAGAGGGCGGCTGGGGAGAGAGCTATCTTTCTTGTCCAAGCAAGATATATACTCCTTTGGGGGGAAACATAACAAACGTGGTGAATACAGGACAAGCACTTATGGTTCTAATCATGGGTGATCAACTGGAGAGAGATCCTTTGCCGGTTCATCGAGCCGCCAAAGTGTTGATCAATTCACAGTTGGATAACGGCGATTTTCCACAACAGGTAATTATAATCACCATCTCTTTTTCATTCACTCCATATATCATGTGCACAAAATAATAGGATTGCTATATAACTAAAACCTTTAAATTTTGCTTTCGCAAATTCGCCAGAAATAATGGGAGTGTCCAAGATGAATGTAATGCTACATTATCCAACCTATAGGAACATTTACTCTCTTTGGGCCCTCACACTTTACACGCAGGCTCTGCGGCGGCTCCTACACTGACAACTTCATATTTCAGTCTTATATTCATGAAACACTTCTAAAATTAATCCTAATAATTTACTGCAAGAACACAGCTATGGAATTAATGGTTGAGCCATTCCACCTTTTGTCCTTCTCCAGTTTTGGCAACAAACAATATGTGCAACATGGAACACAAGTAGCCATGGCAAAAAGATATACTCACATCAAGGAAGTTTAGTAAAAATGCAGCATTAATCTTAGAGTTTTCCTTGATGATGAGATGCTCATGAGAATCAAATGTATTTGATGGAAAAATAAAGTCAACTTCAGGTTTAAACGAGTTTGTCACAAAATCATCTCCTCAATCATGTAAAACACAATATCCTCCTTCCTAGAATCCACTTCAACCTTAGGGTTCTCTATCTCATCCAAGATCTTATCTACATCAAGCACATCCCCTAGGCGAGATTTTTCAAGAATAGATCTAGATTCCTTGGGCATTGAAAGCTCAAACTCGAAATCATTAACATTCAAAGCACATAGATAATTAATATCAAAACACACTTCATGATTTCATGATAATCTCTAGCAAGCTTTTCTACTCTTAAGGTATTTAGTCTTTGAGACTCACATTATATCATAGCATTCATCAATGAGCATGGGAGTATGTGAACGAGAACCTACATCTTCAATGCAAGGCAAGTGACTATCCTCAGAATCATAAATTTCAAAGGTTGAGTCAAAAATACCTTCTAGTTGGTATGGTGGAATCCATAAAATTACCTCTTCAAATACACGAGCTACCATTATCTTCAAGGCAAATGACATTGTGAGCTCCCTTCCTTTAAGTGCTGCCTGGTGTGAGATAAGGTAAAATCGGATCATAGCTGCTAGGCTACTTCTTTTCACTGTTCAATTTTCTTCATGAAGTTCATCCAACTTCACCTTTTGTTCCGGTGTGAGTACACTTTCATAAAATGGTGGTGGCTCCACATATGGCTCATATTGATCAAATATGGTATACTCTTCTTGTGGCCAATCATTATAGTCCATGGCTACACCCTATAAAAAATAAAAATAAAAACAGATAGTACAAGTTAGTATCTTAGACTGAGCAACGAAAGCCAAACTTCTGACATCTCTGCGTGGTTTTCCATCTCCATATGCTCGTTTTACCCAAAACATCTCACTCCTAAATTGACTTAATTCCTGAAAAGACTCGATAAGACTCTAAAGCAAACATTGACTCAAAACCATAGAATTGGTGGTTAGAAACCAGTAAAAACACAGTTTTATCAACATGTAATCCTTTTAGAAGCCTAATCAGATCGGATAAAAACACAGTTTATCAACATGTAATCATTTTAGAAGCCTAATCAGATCGGTCTAGGAGCTTCTGAGTTTCTTTCAAGATAAATCTTCTTTTAGTATGTGCAAGTAGAGCTATCGAACAAGAGATTCCAACTTTAAAATGAAAAATTTCCTAAGAAATTCTAAGTAGATGTATGAATTAGAGTCTAAATAAATTTTAATCATATCAAACATATTCTTAATAAAAAATCTTGAACATGGCCTATAATGGTAATTTTAGTCACCCTTACATTGGGTATTACTATTAATTGTTGTTGTCTTTGAGCTCATTATGTTTCAAGATTCAGTCAGGGGTATTGTTGATTCGAAAATTCACTTTACTAAATGCCAAAGAAATACATTATATGTTAACAGAGAATATATTTGCATGAAGCTAATGTAGTCAACAGCTTGGTCGACATTAAATGCCTCATTCGTTCTCTCCTGATTCCTTCCATCGACAAAGATGTGAACCCACTTATAGAACCCTTGTTATGTAATTAAATTGTAGAAAGATCTGAGAATCAGACAAGCAGTGTTAGCTCTTCAGGAAGCAGCTGAATATTTTGTATAAAAATTCTATTTTATATATAGAAAGTTTATTTTTTAGTGTATATAGAACATTGTCGTGATTAGCTAAGTTATCACATCATTGAAAAAAATTATAGAATGATATATTGGTATATTGTAAATGATGATTTAATATATGGATGAACAAAATGTTCAAAACTTATGTACTATTTTTTTTTCTTTGTATGGAAAATCTATATATGGACTTGCAATTTTGCTAATTTTTATTTGCTAATTTTTATATATGTATATATATAACGTCTATTGTCTTAAGAAAAATTATTTAGTGACTAACTTCATCTTCAGTACCACCAAAAATCAGTTTATTTGTTTAATGGTGAGCTATTTCTCAAACGACTCAAGAAGCTCCAAATAAATGGATTCTCAGCTTTATTGTCGAGTAAACAACAGATTTTAGATTCTCGGCAATAAAACATTCAAAAGGTATATTCATATATTTTGCTAAATTTCTCATAAAAAAATAGACTTGTTAATGATAAAAATAGTTTTCTTATATTATTGGTGATACTATTCACGTATGAAAAAAATTGTGTTATTTTTAAAAAATCAAATCATGTTAGACGTAAAAAATAAATCAGTATTTTTGTGTAAATATACAAAGTTGAATTAATTAATAGGATGATTCTAAAATAAAATATAAAATTTATGGGGTAACAAGATGCGTTATAGATAAATTATCTATATGTATGTTAGAGAGAACAAAATCGTCCAAAAAATTTGTCAATTATTATTTGCTTAATTTTGATATATCGATAGTTATATTTTCACACTTTATTGAAATTTGGTTTTTCACCTAATTATCCATATATGTTATAGGAAACCAAACTTGATGATGAATCTATTGCCAAAATATATATATATATATATAATAATATATAAACACATACTTTTGAGCATGATATACGTTTAACTCTTAAAAGGTTCTCCTATAAATATCTTAAGACACCTTTGCATATACAAAACTAAACCTTTTTATGGGACAAATTGAAGAAAATGTGACAACAATTCAAAATAACCACGTTGGCCGGAAAAATACACCCAAACAGAAAAAAAATAAAATAAAACATAACCACTTTGGAACTAAAAGCCATCATATCTCGAATTCAACGTGAAAGTCTCCATTTCCCTTTCACTTTCCTCCACATATTCGCACCATCCAATTTTTAAGCCACAACATTCTCTATCACGTCTTGAATAAACTTTCGCAAAGCCGCCTTCGAAGATCCACCGTCCATTAACGCCACGTGGCACTTCTCAGACATCTCCTTCACTCTAGTCCTAACGTCACTCTCCTTCTCCATCACAATCCTTATCGCTCTCTCTACATCAGCCGCCGTAACCGTCTCCATCTCTCCGGCCAACAAATCTCCCCTAAAGAACCTCTTTATCTCCACCGCCAATCCCAGCTCCTCCACAATCTGGAACGCATTCACCTTCTGCTCGGCGTACAACGGCCACGTCACCATCGGAACGCCGAACCACAAGCTCTCAAGCATCGAGTTCCATCCACAGTGAGTGACGAATCCTCCGATCGCCGGTTTTGCTAGCACCGCCACTTGTGGAGCCCATCCGATTATCTTCCCTCTCTCCGAAGTCCGGTCCAAAAACCCTTCCGGTAACACTTCCTCGAGATTCGTGTAATCTCCGGGAGGCTCCTTCAATATATCCGGCGATGCGCGACGGAGAGACCAGACAAACCGGTGTCCACTTCGATCAAGCGCGGTGGCGATTTCTCTCGTTTGCTCCTCGTTGAAACCTCCCATGCTCCCAAAACAGAGGAACAAAACCGATTTCTCTGGTTGCTCGTCGAGCCACGACAGAATCTCCAATCGTTTCTCGTCAGTGGAATCGTTAGTTCCGTTTTCCAGATGCAACACTGGTCCTACAGGATAAGCTTGAGGAAGATGACCATCACCACCACCACTGGAGAAAAGTCTCAGAGCGTGAGGTTCCAGCTCAGCAACTGTATTGACCAAAATACCCTTCATTTTCCTGAAGTTTCTTGCTTGGTCCAAGAAGAAAGGTAGCCACTGCTTCGAGGCGAAGATATAGGGAAGACATTTCACAGGATAAGGACGAGTCAAACACGGAAACTCCAACTCGCTCACTGAGTCATCCAGCTCGCTGACGTCATACTTTTCTTCGTCCAACATGGACTGGAGATGGAGCGTGATCCCAAGAAACGTAGCGTTCGATGTGTACACCATGTAACTCGGGACTCCGAACTCGTTAGCTAGATCCACCATCGAGGTGCAGAACATGTCCACAACGAATCCGGCGAGGCGCGACGACGGCGAGCCGTCCAAGAGTTTCGCCACCGCCTCTCTCACTTGCGGGATTTGATTCTTGATGTAGAATTGAGCCGGTAGTGAATCTCCGGTTTGTTTTTCAGCGACGGAGATGGTGATGTACCGGAGGCGGTCTCGAGCCGCCGTGAAGAGGGATGCGATAGAGTCGCTGCCGGCGTCTTTACCGGAAGAGTGAGGAATGATGATTATGGTGATTGAAAGGAGATCGTTGCTGTTGACGAGTTGCTTTGCTAACTCGACTGTTGACCGGAGATGACCAATTCCCGGCGACGGTATGAACACGAGCTCAAACGCCATCGTTCTTTCCCTTTTTAGTGTTTATGGATTGGTGTAGCCAGAAATGGAAAAGATATGTTTTAATATTGTAATCAAAGTAGTTTATTGGGTCACGTAAGTCTGGCCCATGTAGTTTTGATTGGGCCAAAAAAGCCTAAAATAAATCGCAGCCGCCAAGGAAACCCTAATTATGTCAGATGAGTTTCTGTGTATTTATACGTTTTTTTCATCTTCTCCATACCAAATCGTAGGATATTTCTCTCTTTTATTGTGTATGTGCGATTAATTTGGCGATTTTAGGGTTTTGTGTAAAGAGATTTTGAGTTTTTTTTGGGATGTGGAAGGGTTTATGGTGATGATACAATTACGTTGTGGACTAGAGTTTCAGATCTGGGCACTTCACCCAGAAGTTGAAGAGTAACCCTTGGCTGTCTGAGTATTCCCTTTCACACTCATTATATATAATCTTTCGATTGATTTGAAAATCAACTTTTTCTTGTTTGCATTGATGTTTGTTTTCTTGTTTTTGGCTTAGATTGGTTATATAAGCTTATGATGACAAAAACAATTATCTTAGCGGATTTCAGTGAGGTTTTAATGATCAATGATCTGATTTTGTTACACACACTGAAGCTTTATTACCAAAGTTTGTGTTTTTGTTTAGTTATTATATGATTTTTTTGATGCGATGATGAGATAAAAACACGAAGAGTGTAAGAAGAGCAGTGGACAATAAACAATTTCGTTTGTTTATTGCCGTGAGCTTTCCTAATTTAACGACTTCTCCTTCCACTGAGCATTTGGTAATTTATTTTTTTCTAAATCCAATATGAATTGTGAGTGAGTCTGTTTGTGTTTTTTATCTGGCGTCCATTACCAATATTGAGAGATAAACACAATTCTTTTAGGTATAATGGCTTGTGACGCAATATTAGTTAATTGTGGTATATCCTGATCATCTTGCTTTCATATCTGCCTTTTGATCCTGGAAATGCCTCGCACATTATTACAAAATCAGTGATTCATTAATTATCTCTCGGTGTAATTCTCGTTTGCCTCTGTGTTTGAGTTATCCCATTTAACATCATCATCCCTTATAGATTTTTGTAATTCCTTCCACCATTGCAGTACTGGCAACAACTATACTTCGATGGAAGTTATTGCAAGAGTTTAAAAAGAATGATGCTCTTAAGGTAGTGATCAAGGGCCTTGAGATTGATGTGTGTTAAAAAGGATGATGCTCTTAAGGTAGTGATCAAAGGGCTTGAGAATGATGTGAGTTTAGAAAGGATGATGCTCTTAGGTATAAAAGGGCTTGAGAACGATGTGAAGCCATTCATCGATTTCAGAGATTGATCGAACTCTGATGTAAGAGTTAAAAGAGGCGAATTTTTTAAGGCCAGATGATATTTTGACGGACGAGTTGACAATTCTTAGAGCTCCAAAGTCAGAATCTTTCAATTGGTTGATGGTTTGTATGAGTTGTATGTCTATGTTATAATCTTTAGAAGATAACTCCGTGAAACATGTAAAAAAGCATTAATGAAATTCATTTCGAATAACAACTTGTTGACCCTTTTGGTCATTTTTTATCCTATTTATGAAGCTAAGATAATTTGAACATACAATTAAGGAAGTAGAAACCATAAAGATTCTTTAATGAAACAAAATTTATCTAATGGTTTGATGTAGAAGTCAAAACTGCACCAAAGTTGTCTATCTTATATTATCCGTTTGAATTCTTTGCAATGAACTACAAAAGTTTCTAGAAGGTAGGAGAAATTAAACAATAATTATGAAGTATTTATATATAAAGAAACATAGATACTTTTGATAAAATGAATTATATTAGTTGCCTGATTGTGCTGAATCTTGTTAGTTGCATGACTAAATTCTCAACTATTTAGTGATGAATGTGTTTCTGAATTTGTTGGGAAAAATACTGATTACTCTTATTTGTCCTAATTTGCTTCGAACTAGTCTTATTTGTAGGATGTTTTGAATAACAAAGATATTAGTTTCTTCAAAAAAGAAAACGTGGTTTAATGAATTTCTAGACACAAAACATCCGCACGTTTTAATAGATATCTAGAAATTTCTTGCGAGCCACACAAGTGAACTAAAGAATCCAACTAAAACTCCGAACTATAGGGTCAACCACATCAGGACAAACAAAGATCTAACTAACAATGAATCACACATGCACACGTGACTGAAATCCACGTAGCAAAACCCCACGTGGACCTCGTATGCAGAATAAAAACAGAGCAAAGCCTTTTCTTTTACTCAGACCCATACCGTTGAACCCTAACACAGAAACACGTTTCTTGTTGTGATCTGTATCAGTCATATTGTTTTTTTTTTAATCCATTTTTCCTTTGGAGCTTTGTCTTCAAAGAAAAATGGAAGCTCGTTGTGATTATTGTGGAACAGAACATGCATTGGTCTACTGCAAATCCGATTCGGCTAAACTCTGCTTAAACTGTGACGTTTATGTACACTCGGCGAATCCTCTGTCCTTGAGACACACGCGATCCTTGATCTGTGAGAAATGCCTCTCGCAACCCGCTTTGGTTAATTGTCTGGATGAGAAGGTTTCTCTCTGCCAAGGATGTCACTGGACCGCAAGTAATTGCTCCGGTTTAGGACACAGGATTCAAGACCTGAAACTTTACTCTGGTTGTCCTTCTCCAGTAGATTATGCCAAGATTTGGTATTCGATTTTAGACCATTCTTTCTCGGATTCGGTTTCTCCATTTAATGATTGCACCAAAATGAAGGAGTTAAAAGATTGGGATGGTTTATTGACTTCCACGGTTACACAAACTAAGAATCTAAAGGACCATTCTTCTTTCTTTTCCAAGGAATATAATCTTCCTAATATGATAGAGGAGGTAACGTGTTGCATAAGTAATATGTTGAAATGTTTAGTCTTGAAGAAGAACATATCATTACAAAAAGTTTCCATTGTATGTGCAGGAGCAGGAGTGTTCTGGTTTGGATCTATGCGAAGGGATTGATTTGGATGATTTGCCGTTAAATTTCAACGCAAGCGATGATATTATGGGATGTTCATCACTTGAACATACCAAAAGTTACCAATATGATGAAGATTCTTTCGAGGTCTCTCTCTTTAGCCTTTGATTTCAAATCATTTCTCTTAATCAATTCTGATTAAACATTGTTTCTAAAAAGTTAATTCAAATTCTACCTCAGGAAGAGAAGAGCATTGACCTTTCTTCTCTGCTGCGTCCTGCTTTATCCGAGAATGTTGTTCCGAGTTTGTCACTTCCGATGTCCAACATCACAGGAGAAAGCAGCGCAACTGATTACCAAGATTGTGGGATTTCGTCAGGGTTTCTGATAGGAAATTCGCCATGGGAGTCTAATATTGAAGTTAGTCCAAAATCAAGGGACGAGGCGAAAAAGAGATACAAGCAAAAGAAATCAAAGCGCATGTAAGTTTAGAATTCGTTGCAAGAAACGAAGTCAATGTCTTGCTTTTGCAGAACAGAGTTCTTCAGAAACAGAGTCAAGTTCATGCTTTTGAAACAGAACTTCTTAACGATCAGTTTTTGATGTTTTGGTGGTTGTTTTTGGTGTCTTTTATCTTTTAGGTTTGGGAAGCAAATACGATACGCATCACGTAAAGCCAGAGCTGATACGAGAAAACGGGTTAAAGGAAGATTTGTGAAATCGGGAGAAACTTTTGAGTAATGAATTAGCGAGTCTTATCTTCGAGGAGGTTTTGATTAAAGTCAAATCTTACCACGAGACTAACAGGTTCTTGTGGGAGAAGTAACAAATTCAATCTACAAAATCAAATCTCAAGACCTTAAAAGCGCCGCAAATAGTGATGTAAATTTAGATAGAAAATCCCAAAAATTTGCCTTTGGTTAAGCATAACATACCATTTTTTTTTGTATTTGTTAAGCATAATACATCAATTACTAACTAATTTATCATTCTTTCCTAAGTTTTAACATATAATAAACTCTAACAAGATTTGATCTTAATTACGAGAAGAAAAAGGAAACAAAGAAAAACTAGAGAACACACAAAGGGAACTTTGTGATATTCTTCACACTTCGTGCTGTCGTCCTTAACTCCTAACTCCCGTAAAACGACACTGACAAGACAACAACGAGTTAATTTCAGGACGTGCAGACCACGCGACGAATATGTCTCCGAGCAAGAAAATTTGCAGAGTTAACCTCATCGATCACATTTCCTACCGAGGAAAACCGCGTCTGCCTTGCAATACACGGCGGCTTGTTCGCTGCAGATTTGATTTGAGTTAAGAGTGATTTTTGTTCAAAGCAAAATATTAACCTATTAATTTAACGTAATTGCCCCTAAAGGACAAATTTGTCTATAATTAATTTCTTTTTCTCCACCGGACATCTCTCCATATGTAGGATGCACAATTTGACTGGTATGACACTTTAGTTCACATCGCCTTCCACAATAAATCATTATTATATATATATATATATTCTTTTGTGATTTATAGAAAAACATGTAATATCAAACACATCTATTATATAAAGAGTGGGTTGTATCTCACAATAACACCCTTCTTTTGACATATCAACTTGACACATCATTTCTTAAAAAAAAATAAAATATAAAACAATATTAATTTCTTTTTCACGATTAATCATAAAATTAGTTAGTGTATCAATTTTTTAATTTAATGGAATCTTTTAATCTTTTAATTTTTCTAGATCGTCTTCTAGACTTCTTTTCTAAAAACATCTACATCCTTCATACCCTATGGGATTCTTAAACTTCTTTTAATAATAAATTTTGTGTTAAGTGAGACCCATTTTTTGGCCCAAATTTTTAATTCTTCCCCCAAACCAATATAAATTCGACACCTGTTTTACAAACTCTTAAGGATCGGTCTTTATATTAGGATTTTAAGAGCATGTTCAACACTGAAAACCCAAATGGCTTTCTAAACTATTTTTTCAATATTAAATTGGGTTTAGAGACCTTAGATAAAAATATGCATATTTTTTGTATGTTCAATGGTAAATCCATATAAGAGATCTATAGGGGTTTTTAAGAAAAAAAAGCTCCAAAATAAAAACTAAATTTTTTTTTTTGTTAACATAGACATCTGCAAGCGCAGCAAGCTTCTTTGCAAATTCAGGGTCGTTTTTCTCTTCTTCCTTGTAGAACCTCGCATTCTCCAACAGAAGATCTTCAGGTAGTCTTGCAATCAATTTCTTGACTTTCTCACCAACGTAGTCATTTGCCATCACAACCTATTAACACAATACAGCAAGTCACGAACATTGTTAGTTGAAGATTATTGAAGGCTGATGTTCATAAAACTTGCACGCATAGAGGAACATGAAGCACAAACCTCAACACTAAGAAGCTCTGACACTCACAACACAAGAGGCTTTAGGCTGAATTTAGGGGTAACATCTTTGGCGGTCCTGAAACATAAATTGAGATCAGAGACATCCAACAGTTACTAAAATTGAAATAAAATATTTCCAATAACTCCAATCCAATAACTGAATGTTGATGTGAAAAACGATATTGCAACATATGCAGATGAAGCCTGAATCCTAAATTACAAGGAGAGTGACCCAACTTATACAGATGACTCACACAAAGCATAAATTATCATATAAGAAAGCAAAGACACCTGACTATATAGCCGATCAAATAACGAAGGAAGCTGGCGGCAGGAACCGATTCGGCGGCAGGAACCGTAATATTTTTTTTCGACAAAGACGACGATGCTTCTCCGAATTCACACCTCTCATCGTAATCTCGAATAGTTTCTTCGTTTGTCTCTGCAAAAATCTAGGAGAAACAGATTCGGAAATTAGAATTAATTTCAACGAAATCAAATAAGAATCAATCGTTCTCTGAGTGGTTTTTATGGCGTTCTACAGAGAAAACCAAGAAGAGAGAAAGAAAATTTTATGGGGGAAAAAGAAAGAAAAAAAATAGAGAAAATTTTTCTCTCCCAAATTTTTTCTCCTCTAAAAACGAGACACGTGGAGCTTAAGAGACGTCTCTTAAAGTTATTATTTAAGAAACGTTTTTTTGCCAATTTTTTTTGTTTTGATTTAATTAATTCACCTAAATACCTAAGAAACCCTGCTAAGAGACTCTGTTGAACGTGTTCTAACAACCGGTTCTTAAGCTTTTTAAGGTTTTTTATTTATTTTTAATAGCATTTTATGGCTAAGAACCCCTTAGAGGATGAGGGATGGAGATGGTCTAAGATTTCTTTCTCTTCCGCATAAGAGTGTAAAATCCAGCGACTATGCCTCCTCGCTTACCATCTTTACTTTAAAGTTCATTCATATCCTTCCTTTCTTCTAAATTAGTCCCCTTTAACATGTTCATGCTTCCTTCAAGAAAAACTAAACATTTAAATCTTGATTATGTATTTTTGAGATTCTAGCCCTCGAGTTGTTGTTCATGTATTAATATGGTCTCTATTCTTCATTCACTTATGTTTCATGGAGCATTGTATTGGTTTAAGCAAATTACATTTATCAAAATAGATCTCAGACGACCTTTGGCAAGGAAACTGACTTCACCAAGACGATGCTTCTTTATAAGGCGTAAGTCTCCTTCTTCTACATTTGTTAAGCCAAAATATTGGAATCAGTTTTGCTTTAGTCTTATTTACCATTCAAACATTTTATTGTGGGCTTCAAGCTGTTTTTTCACCAATCAAACATTATTCTGTACCGCTAATTATATACAAACTGCACTTGTCCCGCAAATATATTTTCCCGCACGTACTGCAGTTGAACCGTACCACACTTTTAAATCGCTCCGTACAGCTAAAAACGCTGTCACCATTTGGAGCCTAAAGCTATGATTGATGACAACTGAAAGTGCGGTTTTAAAAAAAAAATAAACAAACGCAAATATTCACCAATCATACAAGTTTTTATAAATATTTGCGTTTTTCCAAAAGCTATTTGCTGTTTTCAAAGGATAAAAATATTTCTTGGACCGTATTTTTTTGGTTCCTCAGCGTATACCCAATGGTCCAATTGAATTACACCCTGGATAAAGTAAAAGTGTTGATTTCTTTTTTTTTTCAATGTTTAATTTAAAGTTTTTTTTATTAACAAAAAGCTGATATCATTTGGTGAGAGAATGAGTTTTTTACAACACACTCGTTGTTTTTGCCATCGTTTTTTTTTTTTTTAATTCTGTTCTAACTTTTTGTCATCGTTTTTTTTGTCCAACATCAATTTATTGCTCTAAAAAGTGACACATCAATTATATATTCCTCAACATGAATGATACAACATAGTTTCTGATATCAAAAGAGGTATTTTTTTAATAGATTAGTAAAACTAATTTTAATAAAGTAACATATAATATTAAAAATAAGTTATGTACTAAACCATTTATAAATGATTACAATATTTAATACATACAACTTTTTGAAATTTTATATGTCATTCTATAAATTTTTATGATTTTTTCACTATATAATTATACTAATTATTATATATTTTTTATATATTTATCTATAATATATAATCTGCACCGTATTAGTTTTATTCACAATTCAAACTTTTTATTGTGGACCGCAAGCTATTTTTTCACCAATCAAACATTATTATGTACCGCTTGTTATATACAAACCGCACTTGTCCCACAAATATATGGTAATGAATGGTGACTGCGTTATTGCGTTTTTTGAAAATGGTTTTTAAAAACCGCTCATTGTTTACCAATCAACAGTTTTTTACAATAAATAGCATTTAAAAAAAAACCAAATCACAGAATTATCCAATGGATGATAGAGAAATCCGCACTTCAAAAAAAATACTGCTATTATCCTGCGGATTTCTTAAACACCTTATCTATAATTTTGAATTATTTTTAAATCATTTATTATTCCTTTTATATACTTATGTTCATTTCCCTACAGAATCAATCGGTTATATACACAGATACAAAAAAATAGATAAAAGAAAACAAAAAAACAAGAAGTTTTTTTTCCTCTCAGCAAGGTATATTTCAGAATTGTGTTTGTTTTTTAATATGTTAAGGTTTTACATTTTTTTCTATACTAATCAAATATATTTTATTAAAAATTCAGATTAATCTTATTTTATTATTATTGCATATATCAACTAACAATTTGAATCATATTTGCATAACAATAAAATTAGTGTTTATTCTAAATTTGATTAGGTTTAAATATAAAATCATCACATGTTTTAGATTAAAATACAAATTGATATTTTTTTTATTTTTACAATTCACAAACCAAATAGGAATGAATAAAATTCATGTTGGGCTTATAAGATATATATATATATATATAATAACTTATAATTATTTTCTAAAATTTACTAAAATAAATATATCACAGTATAATAGTTTAATAAATTATGGGAGAGTTTCAGATTTAATCTGAATTTTAAAGTCAAACACCAAACTAATTTCTTTTTTTCTCTCTCCAACTTTTGCCATTTTATCACAATTCTATCCTCTCATTCAAGATATTCACGGACAATGTCATTATAAACTCATTATTTCAATTTTTTTTAAATATTGGCTAAAGTCTCCTTGGACCTCCTAAAACCTTTTTTATTACAATAATGTCATCTTTTTCAATACCTTCAACCACCATGAACAACCCCAAAAATAGAATAAATGCTTCTCAACCAATTTTAAAGCTGTAATAAGTTAATATGAGAGCTCATACA